AATCTACGGAATCCAAGTCTGACAGCTTTCCTGAATCTAATCCTGCTCAGAGAGAGACTTTAATAAAACAACAATAACAAAACAAAAAAATCCTTGCTTTAGTGAGTAATCCTTTCTCTTTAGCCAGGGTTTCAGAAGGAGAAACATTGTTACTGAAGTTTGAACTGCTTGTTTTCTGCTGATACATGTAAAGTGGAGCATACAGACTCTAGATCCATTTCTTGTTCTTCAAACCTCACCCTTCCAACATCTTAGGGGAGGACAAAAAAATTTGCATGTTTACAGCTGGAGCTGCTCCCCCATCTTTTTCTGGCTAGCACCAGGCTTTGCTTTAGTCAGTGAGATATTGATTTATGTTCTAGTAGGCATGGTGATGGCTAGAAAAAGTGGGGGAGGGTTAAAATAGAATTCTAGATATCCAAAATTTCTCTGTTTACATGCAGAAAATCTTTGAGTTAGAGAAAATTAGGTTAGTAAATATGTATGTAAATTAAAAGCAATGCCTGAAAACCTTTATAGAGAGCTGCCTCGTACTTTGCAGATTTAAGCCTAGCACAGTAATCTGGAAAACTGGATTATTTCTTAACACCGCTTACTGAGTTACTTGGTAAAGTTACACAATTATCTTCTCTTCTGGTTACTGAGTATCTGAAGAGTTTTGATGTGTATCAGTATTTCTGTTATCAAAATGGCAAATATACCTCTGTCACAATCTTCATAATGTAATAAGAAAAACTTCTGATAGCATCCTCTTGGGTGGCTTTATGAATATCTGCCATAGAAGTATGTATCTTTGTCCTACCTTTGTACCTATTTCCCCTGAGCTGCCTGCATGTCCAGCTCCTACTAAATTTAAACTGCAGAGCCACAGCGGGGGTGGCTCCTGCACCCGGTGCAAGCTGGGACAGAGTGCCTCCCCTTATCGACTAATTGTGTAGTGGATAAAAATTGTATCGACTACACAATTAGCCAGTTACCCGCTTCTTAACATCCTTAGTTTAGTGTGTTGCTGTAGGAGAGATTCAAATGATACCCAGCTGCTGAGCAGAGCACCCACAGCTAGTGTTTTTGTTTCTAGTGGCGGTGCACATTTGCACATGCCTCAGTGCACATACAATTTATTCCACATATAAATGGAAAACAATCTTTACATGGATTGAATAAATTAGCAGGAATATTCGTTAGTACCCTGTTGTATAGAGGTCACCACAACTGATGTTAAACTTGTTGGGGCCCAGGACTAAAGCTTGGCCCCACTGCCCAGGGCCAAAGATGAAACCTGAACCTCACTGCCCTGGGCTGAAGTACAAGCCACTCCCATAAGGGTGTAGCCCTGGGTCTTTGGCTTCTCCCCTCTCCCCTGCTCAGGAGACTTGGGCTTTCCCCCTTCTGCCTGTTGTGGTGGGGCTCTGCTAGGCTTACGCTTCAGTTCTTCTTCCTGAGGTTGTATAGCAATTTTTGTTGTCAGAAAGGGGTCATGGTGCAATGAAGTTCGAGAATCCTTTGTGTAATCTACATGACCTCCAGTATTAAGTAGCTATAAAAATGGAATGAGGGTTGTGAAGATGTAAAGGTCACAGTAAGTCTACATGTACTTGCAAACATCTTCAATTATTTTATACCAAAGATTTATAATGACAGAATATTTAAATAGAGTTGCTTATAACTCTCAAGTGCTGGATTGGCTATTAAGACTTTTCAATGCGTGGTTAGCTCAGGGCAATACCCTGGTTATAATCTAACTTGAGCCCTGTTAACATACCATGCATGAACTCAATTTTGATTGTGGGCCTGTTTGATATAAGCAAAAGCTTGGGTTAGCACAATTTCAAAAGCTGTTACAGCCAATTTGTTGTAAGGTAGCAGGTAGGGATGTCAACATGTTGTCAACTACATGATTAAGCGATAAGCCTAGGCTTATCGGTTAATCTTGTTGACTACACAAATTCTACCCCTTCCCCCTCCGCTGCTTATATATCGGAGACAGCAAGGTGGGGTAAGCAGGAGCTGGTGCCGGGGGCAGCAAGCTTAAAAGCCAGCCCAGGCCACCTTGGACAGAGACAGCTTTGCAGTAATTTCTCTCCCTTGCCACAGCAGCCTCTGTCCACGGGGAGCTCGCACAATCACAGACAGAAGCTGCTGCCACCCTGGGCAGCTGCCTGTGTATCTGAGGCAGCAGCGCAGGGCGTTCCCCAGTTGTAGGACTGGAGTGCACTGGCTGCTGGCCCTGTCCCTGGGAGCCATCAAATGGTCATGTAGCAGATGATAACTCATGCGGTTACATGACTGTTCAGTTACCCGATATCTTTGATAGGATAACAAGTCTTGTGGATACGGGAGAAGTGGTGGATATGGTATACCTAGACTTTACTAAAGCATTTGATACAGTCTCACATGACCTTATCAATAAACTAGGGAAATATAACCTAGATGGGGCCACTATAAAGGGTGTGCATAACTGGCTGGATAACTGTTCTCAGAGAGTAGTTTATTAATGGTTTATTGTCATGCTGGAAGGGCATAACGTGAGGTTCCACAGGGTCTGTTTTGGAACCAGTTATGTTCAACATCTACTGGGACTTATCCTATTTATACATGATCTACAGAAAGGGGTAAACAGTGAGGTGGCAAAATTTGCAGATGATATGAAACTGTTCAAGACAATTAAGACCAAAGCAAACTGAAGAGCTTCAAAATGATCTCACAAAACTAAGTGATTGGGCAACAAAATGCCAAATGAAATTTAATGGTGATAAATGTAAATTAATGCACACTGGAAAAAATCATCCCGACTATATATAGAAAATGATGGGAACTAATTTAGCTATAACTACCCAAGACAGAGATCTTGGAATTGCTGTGAGTAGATGTTTTCAGAGAATTATCCAATGTGCTGCAGCATTCAAAAAGCAAACAGAATGTTAGGAATCATTGAAAAAGGGATAGAGAATAAGACTGAGATTTTTATTGCATCTATATAAAACCATGCTATGCTCACATCTTCTGTTGTCACCGCATCTCAAAAAAGATATATTGGCATTGGAAAAGGTTCAGAAGTGGGCAGCAAAAATGATTAGGGATTTGTAAAGAGTCACATAAGAAGAGAGATTAAAAAAACTGGGACTTTTCATTTTAGAAAAGAGGAGGCTAAGGGGGGATATGATAGAGGTCTGTAAAACCATGACTGGTGTGGAGAAAGTGAATAAGGGAAAGTTATTTGTTCCCATAAGCTAAGAACCATGGGTCACCAAATGAAATTAGTAGGTATCAGGATTAAATCAAACAAAAGGAAGTTTTTCTTCATGCAGTGCACAGTCAACCTGTAGAACTCCTTGCCAGAGGATGTTGTGAAGACCAGGATTTTAACTGCGTTAAAGAACTAAAACTATGGAGGTTAGGTGCATCAATGGCTATTAGCTGGGATGGGTAGGAATGGTGTCCCTAGCTTCTGTCAGGGGCTGGAAATGGATGATAGAAAAGGGATCGCTTGATGATTACCTGTTTCTGTTCACTTCCTCTTGGGCATCTGGTATTGGCCACTGTTCAAACACAGGATACTGAGCTAGATGGACCTTTGGTCTGACACAGTATGGCCATTCTTATATATTATATGTTCTTATCAAGAGGTTTGGAGAAGGTCCAGAGAACAGCAACTAAATGGTTAAAGGTCTAGAAAACTTAACCTATCAGGGAAGACTGAAAGAATTGGTATTGTTTAGTTTAGAAAAGAGAGGACTGAGAAGGGACATGATTATCAGTTTTCAAGTATCTAAAAGGGTGTTACAAGGAGGAGGGACAAGAAGCAATGGTCTTAAATTGCAGCAAGGCAGATTTAGGTTGGATATTAGGAAAAACTTCCTAACTGTCAGGGTGGTTAAACACTGGAATAAATTGCCTAGGGAATTTGTGCAGTCTCCATGACTGGAGATGTCATCTGAGGAAGTGGGTTTTGCTCGAGAAACCTCATGATACTGTCTACATGTTTTGTTAGTCTTTAAGGTGCTACTAGACTATTCATTATTTTTTTAAGTTTTTTCCAGTTAGACTACCCCTCTGCAAGTAAAGTATATGACCAAATGCTCCAAGCATGGATTTAGCACTATGGCAAAGCATTGTTTAGTAATATAGCTTTTTCTAGAGTTGCCCACCCTCTGAACAAAACAAGCTAGAATTGTTAGTGTGGTTGTGCCAGTATAGTTTTTCCAGTGTAAGTGCATCTATATGAGGGGCTTCTTTTGACAGAAGCATGTGAGTCAGTGTTCACATCTTTGTACTCCTGACTGATAAACTGTGGCCTGTAGTGTAGACACATAATTAAGTCTGAATTCAGAAGCTTTGCTGCCTAAAAGTTATATTATGTATTGTGTTCTTCTTCTCACACAAACTGGTAGATTCATTTAGGCCTGGATGTGCTTAAATGGCCTGCTGGATTGGGGCCTTAGTTGTTTACTAGAGCACTACTCATTTGGAAGCAAACTTGAGAGAGTATCTCAGCTGTATACTAACAGGCAAGATAGTCTATGGACTAGATGCATATGATTGTTCATTCTTGCATACTCATGAACATCATAGCTAATTAATGATGGTTTGAAAAGTTATGTTTGAAAAGTTACATCTAATCATGTAAATAGTACTGAGATATGAAAGAAAGTTAAGCAATTAGATTATGTATATAAATAATTGAATAGTGACTAATTTAACCAAAAGTCAAGTCATACATTTTATAAATACAACTTAGAACGCTGGATTTTGGAATCTTTCTTGAGTTGGAGCTCTCCTAGATTTGTTTGTCAGTGTGTAGAGGTTTTTTTCTGTTGAAGACAAAATATTGAATAAAAGTAATGAGTTCTGCTATTTTAATCTCAATTATATATGCTCTATCTTATGTGAGGAAAATAAATAGCGTTAGCCTTTTCTGCTATATTAAAAAACTGACTAATATAGGAGTTATGATTAACAAATTCTAGCATATGTATTTTTTTTTTTTTTTTTAATTCTAGGTACAAAGGATCTTGTGGTAAAAGCTCAGGTTTTAGCTGGTGGTAGAGGAAAAGGAACCTTTGAAGGTGGCCTCAAAGGCGGAGTGAAAATAGTTTTTTCGTAAGTTGTATTTCTAAATTGTCAGGTAAATTGAGAATATCTTCAATCCATTTGTACGACTTGGAATTTTAATTTGATTAAAATGCCTTGTAGACTATGAAGATGTTCTAAACTAGGTAAGAATGTATTTTTACTGTAAATGAAGATACATAACTCTTAAAATTAATTCATTCTGCTCTCTTTACTCCAGCATTTCTCTTGTCACATTCTGAGCTTTTCTTATTCTAGTCCAGAAGAAGCAAAAGACATTTCCTCCAAAATGATTGGAAAGAAGTTGTTTACCAAGCAGACAGGAGAGAAGGGCAGGATATGCAATCAAGTATTTATCTGTGAGCGCAGATATCCCAGGAGAGAATATTATTTTGCAATAACTATGGAAAGGTCATTTCAAGTGAGTAACTAATAGAAATAGTATTCTTAAAATGAATTTTATATACTTGGAATTGAAAGAATATTACTGCCATCCTTCGTAGGGGTCAGATTTGTGTTTGAAACTGATTTATAGAGCTGTTTGTGAACTCAGCCTTCTGTTTAGCAGCATGACCTTCCTCTGCATGCTTCTTAACACTTCAGATACCAAAGTAAATTGCTGTGGTATAGTGCAGTGAAAGGAATGCTACACAACTGGTTGTCTGCAATACTGATGTTTCTGAACTGCAAAGTTGCAGTGGTTAGCAAAATGATCTAATTTCTGTCTCCTTAATTTTACCAGACTTAATTTTAAGCAGTTAAGGCTTAATTTTAAACATGCAGCCACAGCTCTCTAAAGCAGTGCAAAGCAAGAAGATGACCAAAATTTTAAAAAATCTGTGTCCATAGTAAAGTTCCTATATCTGTTTAGACATGTGAGTGACCTGACTTTTAAACTGCTGATAACAGGAGGAATTACATTTAGCATATCTCCTCCTCCTAAAGAAGTTACATACCATTCAAAAATAGTAAGTAAATGTGCATTTTTAATATAATGGACTCCTCCAAATCCCAAGGTTAATTCTGTAATTTTTAATATAGTGCTTGTCACATTTCTCCCTCTTCTTTACTATATAATGACTATTAAAGGCGTTTCCTGTTCAGTTCAGATCTGAATACTTTGACGCATTCCTTGAAATAATCTGTATGACTCTGGTTCTGTAGGTGCCCAATTTTTAAATTTATAGAGGAAATGTGTGCAGTTGATTTGTCTATTAAGCACTTCACGAGCCATGAAATTTCGTAAGTTATCTGATATGTGAACAAAATTAATAATCATCATGGCTTCATCCCAGGAAAGAAGATGGCTTCTAGACTCTAGAACAGTGGTGCACAATCTTTTTTTCAGCAGCAACCCCCATGGCTGGCTCCAGGTGGCCAGGGGCTGGGCCTGGCTGTTGGCGTCCGCGCGACGCCCCCCAGGAAGACCATTTGGGGGTCGCGACCCACGGGTTGTTCACCACAGTGAAGACTGACTCAAATTTTAGAAGCACTCTAGATATGGTGTGAGCATTAAACTTAAAATGTATACTAGCTTAGTACGAGTTACATGTAATTCTGTGGTAGTAATCCATTGCAGTATTTATAAGAAGTTTGTTTGTTCTAGCTTCTAGCAAAGCTCCTTTATTTCTTATATTAGGGTTACTTCTGATACCTCCTGGAGATGTCAGAAATGTGTGTGGTTACAGGTGACTCCTGTGTAAACTGTGGAGCTGTCCAATTGTTTTTGGTGATGTTTGCTCCTGAACTAACATCTCCCCAGGTTATGCCTTTCTTCTAGGCTTATTTCTGTTGGGAGCACATCCTACAAAGTACAACTTATTGAAGTTCAGAGCTGAAGCAAATGGTCTGGCAGTGCTAGAAAACCTGCAGAAAGAATGGTTCAGTAAATTCTGTAGAGCGCGCTCTCATTTACAATGTAACAGGAACTTGTTTTGAAATATCTGTTCTCTGATTAACTGACTTGCATAGAAATTCTAAAAGTGGGTGAACTGGTAAATGTCTGTCTTACTGTATCTGCTCTTTTTCTTAAATTTAGAATCCTCTTCCTTTCCATAGGAAAATTGTTCAACATTTCAATCTTAATATCTAAAAGTGTCTATGCTGCTTTTTCACAACATCTGAGAGTAGGGATCTCAATGTGTAGTCGACTACATGATTAACCTGATGAGCCTAAGTTTATCAGTTAATCTGTTGACTACACGCATTCCTTCCCACACCCTCTTGGGGGAAGGGGGGGGGCAGGAACCATTGCCCTCCTTCCTTGCTGCTGCAGCAGCACAGGGAAAGGGCAGGGCGGGGTGCCGGGGAGCAGCCTCTGTCCATGGAGGCCCGGGCTTGCTGCGCACAGAGGCTACTCCGTGGCAGAAGCCCTGTCTGTGGGGTCTGCACGTAGAGGCTGCTCCGCGCGATTGCCCATTATCCCATGGACGGGTTGCTGCTGCCCCGCGCGATTGCCTCTGAATCCGAGGCAGCAGCATGGAGCCATAGGCTGGAGCTGGTCTATGTGGGGAATTGGTTTTTAAACTGATTCCCCTCATGGACCAGCTTCTGCCTGCCAATTTGCGCTGCTGCCTTTGAGGGGCAGCAGTGTCAGATGGCAGGGTGGCTCCCCGGGAGTGGGGCTGGAATACACTGGCTGCTAGCCCTGCCCCAGGGGACTATCGAATAGTCATGTAATCGATAATATTTTGTCTGGTTACATCACTATTCAGTTACCTGCTAACTAAGATCTCTAATCCAGAGCTTTCTAATTTCTATGTAAGAGTGACAAGTAGATGGCTAAAATATTTACTGCATTTATGCCACAAGGTGGCATTAAAATACCACAAATAGCTATATTTCAGCCTATAAAAATTTCACATTGTTCAAACAAGGATTTTTAACATACAAGTTTTAGCCACAATTAGTTTAACCAAAGTAGATGGCCTTTTTCATGACTGATAGATAAAACAAATCTCTGTTGACAGGGTTTCATTGGTAATTAGTTTATTGCTTTATAAATCTTGGGAATCTTGTTTTTTGGACAAGAATTATGCTAGTGATCGGTGATTCTCAGCAATTAATTAACACCATACATGTTTTCCTAGAATAGTAAGAATTAAACAAAACAAAACCCAGAAGTCAGGATTCTGATAAACAAATATTGTTTCAAAAAAATAAAATGCTTACAGGCTGAAGCAGCTGAAGGAATGAAATGTTCTTGCCATGTCTTAAGTAGAACTAATACTATCTTTTAGGATATAATGATACTGAATTGTAATTATGCCTGAAATAGTTTTCTAAAGCACTTGTAGCTCTCCTTGCAGCTGCATTCAGTATGTAGTTGTCACAGTATTAAAAAATGGTTCTAGCACTCTCTCTTTGCAACTTTAATTGCAGTTATTTATTAGCTAAACCAGTGGTTCCGAGCCTTTTTTATACTGTGGATCGGCAAACAGGCATATTATTTGCATATTCATTCATAATGTTACCAGTCCACCAAGGGGCTTCTGTGAACAGCCAGCTTCACCTGCTTGCCACCTGGCGACTGCCAGAGTTGAAGCTGTCTGCTGTGCAGCAGCTCAGAGGATTTGTGTGTACCTCAGTACGCACCCCACAGCTGCCACAAACAGCTGGCTTCAGCTCCGGCAGCCTCTGTGGCCTAGCAGCCAGCGATTCACAGCCTGGCACCAGTCTGTGGATCAGTGTTTGGGAACCGCTGAGCTAAACCCTATTAATGTGCTCATGGGAAGTACTGACTTACTAGTCCAGGAAGTGGAAGTCTCTCATTATGCATGCAACCAATACCGCATGTGAATGTTGGCTGACTCATAAGCAAAGATTCCTCAACCTTGAACTTGATGGATTGCTTCCAGGGGCATGGGATTGTTTTGTCTTCATGCCCATTAATCTCAGAGGCACCAAGGAGTCAATTGTGAAAGTGGCTTTTTGACACATTTTGTGAAAGAGTATTAACTTCTCTAAATTCATTTTACTCAACAATCAAGCACTGTGACAAGCTTTCTGAGAGGGTTATAATTGTCAAGGCTTATGATCTGTTGTGAATAGGAATAGAGTGCAACAACTGGCTGTGCAGACCTAGATTTACCTTCAGAGGTTGGAGTGAGATAAACTATGAAGAAAATTAAAGTTGTTCTCTGTTCACTGACAGCATGAGCTGAAGATGGGATATACTGGGTGTGATGTATCATTGTATAACTGCATTTTTCTGTCCTAAATTTAAGCCAATATTGTAAGTCATGGTATTGACTTAGGAGAAGCTTCCTTTTGATATATGGTTTTAGAGTTGGAAAATTTCTTCTGTTCTCATATATACTAAACTGCTTGTATAAGTAATACTGAATGAAAATATAGCAACAGTAAGAGAATAAAAGACAACTTTAATGGATTGCCAAAAGCAAAGAATCTCATACTGAGAACAAGAGGCTCTTTGAAATATTTGTGGAAAGATGTAATATAGTGAATTATATTTAAAACACTTGCATTGAAATTTTCTCTTTCCTTAGGGTCCTGTACTGATTGGCAGTTCTCATGGTGGTGTTAACATTGAAGATGTTGCTGCAGAGAATCCTGATGCAATAATTAAGGAACCCATTGATATCATGGAAGGCATCAAAAAGGAACAAGCTGTTAGGGTACTATGGAGTACATTTCCATACAATCTTAGTTTTTTGCTTGTATAAAACTTACTGAGTATATTTACAAAGCTTTGGGGCTGATGAAAGAACTGACAATTCCTAACAATTTTATGCTAGATATTATAATGGATTGTCTTCGATTTACAGAAAGGAATGTAAATCTAGCTCCATATATGGATACTTAAATTAGGCTGGTGTATAGCTTCGTAGCCTTAATTTCGCTGTCCCTTGTAGGATCAATGCCTTGATTGATCTTACAAGCCATAAGCCCCACTCCCTGCAGGGCAAACAAAAATCTGTAGCTGCTGTCTAGACTTCTATTGCTGTGTTAAAAATAAGCTGTGAAGTTCCTAACTTTTAACCATAATTCAAGATTTGAATGCCTAATATAATAAATTGATTAACAGAATATTCTGTTTTATTTTCAGTTGGCCCAGAAAATGGGATTTCCCCCTAACCTGGTGGATGAAGCAGCAGATAATATGATCAAGATATACAATCTCTTTATGAAATATGATGCCACTATGGTGGAAATAAACCCTATGGTAGAAGATGCATCAGGAATTGGTAAAGTACCTTCTTTATAGAATTTTATTTTAGATGGGCAGATTGAATCTATGGAGCAGTGTTTGATATAAGGGTTCTGCTAAAGTTTCTGCAGCTATATGCAGTAAGGCCATGGTCACCAACAGGTCGATTGCGAGCTACTAGTCGATCTCGAGGCCTCGACCAGTCGCTCGCAAGGCGTCCTGTCTACCCCGCCCCCATTTCCCTCCCACCCCCCAGAAGCCCCATTACTTACCTCAGAGGTAGTGTCGGCTTCAGAAGTCCCGCAGCTTAGTGCCACTTCCGGCAATTCCAGAAGTGCGCTAGCTGCTCTGCCGGCCCCCTGCACCGCACAGGAGTGGTGAGTCAGCCCTGCGGGAGGTGCACAGGGGGTTTCCCGGCGTGCGCGGGGGGAGTTGGCCCTGGGGCAGGCGCCTGCTGGTTTCCCTGGGGGGGGAATGCTGGGGGGAGGGAGATGCAGGGGACTCTCTGCCCCCACTGGCGCCCCCACTGGCACCCCCACTCCCCAGCTCCCACTCCCCAGCTACAGAATGCTGTCCCCAGCCACCGAATGCTGTCCCCACTCCCCTGTCCCCAGCCACCGAACTCGGTCCCCACTGGCGCACTGTCCTCTGCTGCAGAACCCTCTCCCCTGCCCCCCCAGCACCCTGCCCCCAGCCGCAGTACTGTCCCCACAAAATGTAGAATTATAAATGCTTCATTTTAGATTTAAATAGCATGAATAAAAAACAGACCATTTATTTCATAACTATAAACACGTGATTTTAATTGAATGTATCGCATAATTTAAAAATAAACTGTTTATCAGAGTGTGTAAATAAGGGCTGGGGATAGCAAGTGATGGACAGGAGGAGAATAGAGAGGGCGGGGCGGTAGATCTTCGCCTGTTCTGAGATTTAAAAAGTGATCTTGTGTGTAAAAAGGTTGTAGACCACTGCAGTAAGGAGATGTAACACTAAAGTGGTACATTGGAAAAATGTAGTAAAAACTGACTATGGCACATAAATATCTGCAAACATATTTAGCACTCTGGAAGCCCTGTGCATGGTGTGAGTTCTGTGCACACTATGGGACTGGCTTCAAATTTCTCTGGGTTTTTTTGGATTTTTTTCAAATAACTACTATTCACATACTGCATATAAGGTGGGACTTAAGATAGTTTGTGAAATATTTGTGCTATGAGCCTGTATTATCAGAGCATACAAAACTATAGACCATGCTGCTAATACAAAATGCATCCTAACATTCAATTTAAGTCAGATGGAAATTGACATTGTGGTATAATAAGCTTTGGTAATGTGGTCCTGAAAGAAGAACAAGAATGAAGTTACATTCAATTGTGTGCAATAATAGCTTTTCTTCTTGGAAAGAATCCAAGCTCATATAATTCCTTAACTACACATTTATCTTATTCCTCTTGGCTTTGATGTCAAGATCTGAAATGACAGCACTCTTGTGCGCCTAACTCGAAGCGATTTGAATTTGCAATTTTCAGAATTTGGTCCTTTCTGAAAATTGGGCCTTCTAAGATTTTTTTTTTTTTTTTTTTTCAAGCTAACATCCAAAATCTAAGCAATCCCAAATACTAGTGACTTCGTATTAGATGCTGAAGGAAGTAGGGATATTAACTGGTAACTGGTTAAAATTTTACATTTAACTGATTAATTGATTAAATGGAGGTGGGTGTGGGCTGCTCCCCATGTACTGGTTAACCATTACCTGTTAACGTCCCTAGTGAGGTGAAAATACATCTACACACTAGGAGTGCCTTTCAACCACTACTGGTTTTTTTTGTTTGTTTTTTGTTTTTTTGTTTTGTTAGCAGGTTTCAAAAGATACTTACTGTTCCCCTTTAAACATTTTCAGAATTAGTCTCAGCTTAATCCTTGCTGTTCAAATTTGCATATCTAGTTTTATACTGGCAGTTCAGTGCACTTTTTATACAAGAATTTATATATATAAAAAAAAAAATCTCACTGTACTCATAGTATGAACTTAGACCTAGCATAGTTGGGTTTCCTTTTTGTCAGCTTCCTTAGTACATGGTTAAGGATAAGATTACATCACAGGGGAAGACTGGCTGGAGCTCCCAGCTGGTCACAGCATGCTTTCCCAGGGCTTGGGATCTCTTCTCCTCCCATAGGACATTCCCCAATGTCCCTCCACTATCTATGGGTGAAACTACCTTGGTGTTCTGCTGGGATTATTTTCTACATTTTTTTTTTTAACCTTAGAATATGTTCGCTTGATGAAGCACATAGGCTCTTGCTCTTAGATTTAATTTAAGTGGGTAGATTTTTTTTTTTAAAGATATGCAAAGGCACAATGGAAGGATTAGCTTGGTGGACAGTTGTTTTGGTGAGTTTGTGTTAACTGTTCTAGATACGTTACTGCAGGTTGCACCTCAGTGGTCCAGCACCCTTGGGATCTGAGCATTTCTGAATGAGAGAGTTTGCTGGACTAGGGCAGGTCAATTCTGCTCCTCTTCTGATGGACTCCGGACTCTTGTAGAATCTTTCAGCTCCCCTCCCAGATGCAGGGCTCCTCTTCTCCCCTGTTGCGCTGGGCTCCTGGCTCTGCGGCCAGCCCTGGGCCCACCACTCCATGGCTGCTGCCACTGCCCCCAGGGCCAGCCTGGGCATCAGGCTCTTGGTTCTGCTGCCTGCTGCTAGACTCATAGGGCTTTCTGGTTCAGGGGCTCTCTGCTCCAGCAATATCTGTAGATCATGGACGTTGCTGGGCCAGTGTGCCCCAAACCAGAGAGGTTCAAGCTTTACTACAAATGCAACATGTATTGTGTTAATCCCTTTCAAGAAATGCATTTATACTCATAAAGGTACTTGCAAGTTAGGAGTCCAGAGGTCAGGTAGTGCCATTAATGTAAGGTAATACTGGTATTTTCTAGTCCTGTAATAGTTATATGAAGTGTTTTTAGCAGAACTTTGCATCCAGGAGTTTTTAAGAGCTTGCTGAACCATTAATGTTGATTTGCAATAAAAGGTGGAAAAATGCAGAAGACTGAAAGAAAACTAGTGTTATGCCAATATTTGAAAAGGGTACACAGAATGACCTGGGTAATTATAGGATTGTCAGTCTAACATTGATCCTGGGCAAGATAATGGAATAAATGATAGAGGACTAGATTAATCAGGAATTAAAAGAAGGTAATTGAGTTGATAGAAATCAACATAGGTTTATGGAAAATAGCTCCTGTCAAATTAACTTAATGACTTTTTTTGCATGAGAATACAACTTTGATAAAGGTAATAGTGTTGATGAAATATACTTAACATTCTTCTGTAAGGTATTTGACTCTAGTACCACAAGACATTTTGACTGAATGTGGAGCAATACAAAATTAACTTGGCACATAAAATAGAATAAAAACTGGCTAACTGATCGGTCTTAAAATATGTTCCTACTAGCTGGAGTTACCCGACGTTGCTCGGGAAACCGGAGGAACAAAATGTAGAAAAACAGTAGTCCATTAACTTTTTTTGAATGGTAGAAAAGTTGCACTGATTTCTATAGGGATTAAAATATAGGTCCGTGTTATCCCCGGCGGGAGGGGGGGAGGTTACACGCAGGAGGGGCATCCCAGATCGCACCCGGGGTGTGTGTGTGTGTGGGGGGGGAAGAGGGGGGGAAAGAGGGTTGCTTATGTAACCTCATGGGTGGGAGAGGGCGAGTCCTAGATGGTGCTGGGGACCGCAGGCGGCGGGCATGGGACCTAGGGTGGGCAGGATGGCCCCTGCAGCGCAGCACACTTTTTGATTTTTACAGCTTGAGCTTGGGCCCGATTGGGTCCAAAAGTACCTTAATACCTTCCCCTGGATAAAAGGTTATCCCATGCAAAGTTTGGTTGTGGTAGCTCTTATAGTGTCTGAGTTATTAGTGCACAAACTTACAAACATTCTCCTTTATATATTGGATTATGGTCTTGCATTGATTATTATTTTGGCCTGATGCTTTTTAACACTTGGATCAATGATGACATACACAATTGGAGTTGTGGTAAATAGAGGAGAAGTCACTGATAGTAATTGTGGATCACTTAAACTACATCCCTCTTTCGAAAGACGTATGTAAATTAGACATATTGAAATTGCAAATGAAGTTGTGATTTGAATTTCTCACGCTTCATTTGCATAATTGCATCATGGCTTTTTTTCAAAAAAAGCCATTTCGAAAGTGAAACTATGGTCTAGACATTGTTCTTTCAAAAAGAAAAGCATTTTTCGAAAGATCCTATAAACCTCTTTTTTTTTTTTTAAGGACACAAAGAGGGATGTAGTTTTGATGTACCCTTAGTAAATTGGACAAAAGCAAACAGCATGCTGTTTGAATATGGATACATATGAGTGTACTCAGCTAGGAGGAAAGAATATAGGCCATTTTTACAAAATGGGGGACTTTATGCTGGGAAACATGGCCCTGGAAAAGCTTTGGGGGGATGTAATGATGCTCAGTTGAACATGTGATCCCTGTGATGCTGTGGCCTAAAGGGCTATGGTGATCTTTGGTTGCATAAATACAGTAATTTTAGAGAAGTAGAGGTTATTTTACCTCTGTATTTGGCATTGTTGTGTTCACTGCTGGAGTATTGTGTCCAGCTTAAAGAGGTTGATCAGTTGGAGAGGGTTCACCATGAGAATGATTAGAGAGTTAGAAAACATGTCTTAAGCTAAACAGACTGAGTTCCTTTAGTCTATCATTAACAAAGAGAAGGTTAGGGAGTGATTTGATTAGTGTGAATGTGTGTATATATAGTGTGTGTGTGTGTGTGTGGGGGGGGAGAAACGAAATTTAATAGACTGCTCTGTAGTGTAGCAGACAGGTGAAATAAAATCCAGTGTCTGGAAGTTGAAGCTAGACAAATTCACACTGGAAACGAAGCATATATTAATGGTAAGGCATAAGTGGAACAACTTACCAATGCTCATGGTGGATGCTTTACTACTGAAAAATTTAAAATCCAGGTAGGAAGTTTTCAATAATTAATGTGTTGTAGAAAATATTTTTGGGGCAATTCCGTGGCTTGTATTTTACAGAAGGCCAGACTAGATTATCACAATAGTCCCTTCTGGCCTTAGCATGTATGCAGTGAAGACTGACTGAGAAGGAATGTAAACCCCCAAAAAGAATTATTTGGTTCCCTAATGTACAATAGAATAAGTATTTCAAAGAAGTATTTAACCTTTTTAAAGTTAAAGGCATTAATTTTTTTGTTTTGTTTTCCAAGTGATGTGTATGGACGCAAAGATAAACTTTGATAGCAATTCATTCTACCGTCAGCAGAAAATCTTTGATCTGCAGGATTGGACGCAAGAGGATGAGCGAGACAGAGATGCTGCTAAAGCAGACCTCAACTACATAGGACTCGAGGGAAACATAGGCTGTCTAGGTATCTATGTTCTACTCACTAGATATTTAAATGCCTTTGATGTACCTGCTGCTAATGGAGTTCTTAAATGTAACTATCTTTCTTGCAGTGAATGGTGCTGGCTTGGCTATGGCCACAATGGATATAATTAAACTACATGGAGGCACTCCAGCAAATTTCCTTGATGTTGGTGGTGGTGCTACTGTACATCAAGTAACAGAAGCTTTTAAACTAATTACATCAGATAAAAAAGTAAGACAAGGACCAGTATTTCAGAATTCTGCACTTTTAAATAATAAATGCTGTATAACCATGCACAGTGGATATTTTGTTTTCTTTAATAGATATGGCTTGTAAAGGTGAGCTACAAAAAGGGGGAGCTGTGCTGTCTTTACTATTTTACTATGGTTAAAGAAGGCCTGAAAAACACGTTAGGTTTTTTTTCCTACAAGTTTCTTAATTTTCTTACTCATCAGGATTGTAAGTCTTGTTCTTTGCCAAAGGACTGCAGAAAGGAGAACTGAAATAGGAAAACTTTTAGCCATCACTTGAAGGGACAATCGTTTGTATTTAAATCATTCACAGAGTCTTTTCTCAAAATATCTGTCAATTGCACAGATTTCAGACAGTTGTGATGTAATTCCCAATAGTTCTTTAGTTTTTTTCCTAAGTAGTTAACTGGCAAAATCAGTGGAGGACACCAAAAACTTTTAATATCCCTGACAGGAAGGAGGAAATAGAAGAAGCAAATCCTATTCTGAAGAAAACTTTCAGGGTTTTTTTATAAAGACTTTTTTATTAAAAGGAGGTGGTTGTTAAATTCCTTTCTTTGCAGGTAAATTTTTAGTGGGAATTTAAAAATACTCCTTTACAAATAAAATTAGAACTTTCTAATAGAATTAGAATAAAAAAAGAATGAACAAATAAATAAAAACTATGTAATTTGAAGGCAGGTTAAAGATAGCAAATTTAAATAGAAAAATTATTCTCTAGGGGCTGCCTAAAGTCATTTAGATGCATTTTAAACATAGAGAAGATGCATTTTTACATATATTCAGAATAAACAGTAAACAACTTACCTTCTAATTATCTTTGCAGTATCAGCTCTGGTGTGCTTTCTTTAAGTGAATGTACACTTAGCAGACTCAAATGAATAAAATGGTAACTAGATCCTCTTTTTCGAAAATCACATCTGTAGTACTGTGAGCAAGTACAGAAATGCTGTTATTACCTTTTTAAAAAATCCTTAAAGCTGTTGAATTGTCCTTGCTGAATAAACTAAATGGTTTCAAACCAGGCTGTCTTGTTTTACAATGACACTATATAATTTCGGTATTGCTAAAGAAATTCTACTTTATTTGTATTAGGCTAATAAGGAATTTCCTTGTTTTAAAAGGAATTTGAAACAATGAATGATGGTACCGAGTTAGGTAATGTTTCCTCTATGTTGTTCTACCCATGTGCAGAATAAATTTTGTTGTGTAGAAAGGCATATGTGGATGTGCACCACCAATAGAAACACATACTACTGGGGTGTAGCCATCTGTGGGCACTCTGCTAATGAGCCGGGCAGCACCTGAATCTCTCCTGGGCAGCTGCCTAAGCACTCAGCTTACAGGGAACACTGATGTTAGGACTCTTGTCAGTCTCTTGAGTACCAAACTTTCTATTGGGTCCATGCTGTGGTGCAACAGTGTTGCAGAATTTCAGACTTAAATTGTAACAGCTGTTTTCTGACTTGTAGGTATACTTCAAGATTCTAAGGTGCTTTTTGGTGACATAGTAATATTTCAAAATAAAATCATTTTAATAGCTGGTCTGGAAGGTTATGAATGTCCCAGTACTATTTTGAAGAGCTCCAGGATCTTTGTACCAATGTTGGGATTATGTAAATTTCAGTAGAATGTTAATTAAAATTAACTGACTATAATTTTGGGCAGCATGAGGAAGAACTCTAAGACTTCCCTAATGGTAGATGCTTACTGATGCATAGGAGTAATACCACAAAGGAAAACTGAATGTATTTTATACTCTGCACTAAAAACTTTTCAATTAAAATTCGAGGCCTTCACCTACTCAGTTCTTGCTCACATTTTCTCCATACTCATCCATGGAAGACTTTTTAAAAGATCACTCTGTTCATCCCCTTTCCTCCAAACTTCTTTCCCTGAATCCCCCAATCCTGATTTTTCCTCCTGAATTAAATCATTCCATCAGTGTGCTCTATTTCAAGGGAGATCACAGAGCAGTATTGCCCATGATTACTCATCAGTATCTTTTTTTGGATGATTGCATCTCTTCCTGTACAATGGAGAAGAGCTTGAAGAGAGTCACTAGTGCTTTTGCATATGAAGTACCCCTTTGACTTTGTATTATCAGTCATGCTGACAAATAGTACTTGGTATCCATGGTATCACTGCTTGCTTGTTCCATCTCCATTGAGGGTTAAGGCTGCAGTGAAAAGGGCAGGCTGGCAGACAGAATGGATGTAAGTTGTGATTCTGTATAATAGTGGGGCACTTTACATATGAAGGGAGAGAGTCTTACAGTTAAGAACAATATCACATTTAAGCTATATAGCCCATAATCTTTTGTGGGTTGCTGAGTGAAGAAATCAGATGGGTAGTGACAGTTGCACAGCTGGAAGGTTGTAGGTGGTGAGAAATCAGTGATTCCAGAGGGTTGGAGGTTGCAGGAAGCTGGGAAAAAAGTAGGTAATGTATCCCTGGGCAATAGGTGAGGTGGAGAGGAAGCAGAAGTGCGCAGGCTGGTGGTAAGAAAAAAGGAGACTAATACAGTGATATGTGGTGCATTAAAAGCTTGAGATGGGTGTGAGTTAGTAGGGGAAGGGGTGCTGAGCCAACTCTGGAGAGATGAGAGCTGACAAGCTTTGTGTAATCAAATGATTGAAGCATGATAGGAGTATTGATTCTTAGTTCCCACCCAGCGACCTTGGTGCACTGTCATGTTAAAATCAAAGTTTTGGGTAAAACACTTCTCTGTTCCTTTCTGAGGTTATAAAATCAAGAGAAAGTAGGTAACATTACTCCTGCATAGCTCTTCAGATGAAAGATTCTTCAAAGTGTTTTCCATCGACATTCTTGTTATGAAAGTTCATCGATAGCCTACTTATTGTTGTAAACTCTCAAGTGGTAGTTCAATGTTCAACATACTATGGGTTAGTAACTACCCAGGTTGGTGCTTGGATGGCTTGCTGTCAAAACAGTTCCTTGGTAAAAGCTGAAATACCAATGCCTGTCACCACTATGTGCAGGGATTCAAGTGTTTTCCATCGACATTCTTGTTATGAAAGTTCATCGATAGCCTACTTATTGTTGTAAACTCTCAAGTGGTAGTTCAATGTTCAACATACTATGGGTTAGTAACTACCCAGGTTGGTGCTTGGATGGCTTGCTGTCAAAACAGTTCCTTGGTAAAAGCTGAAATACCAATGCCTGTCACCACTATGTGCAGGGATTCCAAAATTTCATGTTTGTTCAAGCACTCCACAGAAGGAATTGATAGGAACCATACTAAACTGTAGTAGACTTGGCTCAAGCTTGTCTCCTTTTAAACCTGAAAAACACTTTGCCTGATGAGAACTGTTGAGATTATAGTCTTGATATAAGTTGACCAGTAGCAATGGAATGATTTCATCAACAATATTCAGTAAATCCTTGGTGTAACCTCCTCCTTGAGCATGTTCTACACACGTTGAGATAATGTTTGGTCAAGGACCAAGCAGTCATGGTGTAATAATCTCTGTAAACAATGTTCCTTCTAATCTTTTCCATCCATATACGGATTTTTTCCATCCAAGTGCAGAATATTGTTGTGCACTGAGGCATGTATAAATGTGCACCTCCAATAGAAACAAAAAAATCTAGCTGAAGACACTCTGCTAATAATTGGGTGGTATTTGAATCTCTCCTAAGTGACTGCCCAACCACCCTGTTTACAGGAAATCCCTACCTATGAAGTATTTATTGGGAGTACAATTTCAGGTATTTAATTTTTTGTAAAAATCAACATTATTTTGAGGTATTCATTTAAAGAACACAAGAATCTACACATTTTAGACATTTGGCTGGTTGAGAAATTATACTTGCATGCAGAGCTGCTAATGTAAATTTAATTTTGTGAAGAAAGACTTTCTTGTTTTAAGTGTTAAATGATTGCCATTTAACTGCTAATAAGGTCACTATTCTTACCATTTTTCTTTGTTAATCTTGTTCTCTAGGATCATAGCATTTGAAGGGCTTTAAACTTTAATTTCAATGTATGCAAATTTAAATGCAAATTTAATTTCAGTATCTGAAAATTTAAAGAATTGTCTTCTGTGGAATCTCTTCACAACAGGCTATAACTACGGTTTTAAAACTCATGCATGGGAATGTCCTCAGATATGACATCAAGGTAGATCTGACCAAGGGGAACAACTAGCAATGTTTCCGTATGAATTGGGGAGTTAGGGGGGAGAGTTTTAGCCTGCTCCCTGTCCTCCCTAAGGGCACTTGGGGGAGGTAAGCACCCCTAGCCAGCCCCTTTTTCACCTACCTGGTTATTCTGAGTCTTTTCTATATGGTTTTATGTGAAGTGATCCCATTCCAGGCATATCCCATTTTCATGTAACAACCAAACCCTCATAAAACCATACACAAAAGACAGAATCACTAGGGACTGGCTGCGGATACCCCCTCTCTGTCTAGGACCTGCCCGGTCCTGAACCCCACTCCCCGGGGCGCACTTTAGGGAGGGTGTGAGGATGGGAAAGAGCACAGTTTGTTGCGTTCCTCACTCTGCCTGGGGAGCAAGGAGGCAGACGAATCTGGACCTGTCCCAGCTGGTGGACATGCACCCCACTCCTGGCTGTGCCTGCTGAAGATGTAGTGGCCATGGAGAGGCACTTCTCATCTGGCCCCAAGCTGCTGCCATGAGAGAGGGCTGAGAGAGTCCTCTCTCTGCAGGGCAGCCCAGATACTGAACCTCTCATCTCTATCCCCATCCCAGAGCAATGATTTCAATGAAGAGAAACAAAAATTTAAAAATTAATTAAGTTAAGGACCTGAGCAACACCAGATAAATCTTCTTGTAACAGATAATTGCCTCACCCACATTTTCTCCTTCTGAGACAGGCAGTCAAGGTCTGAAAGTACTTTTAACCCCATGTAGCCCTGGGCTTGTTACTGTCTGAGCTTGGTTGAGGGGATAATATTTGAACTTTTTAATTTTCATTAATTTAAAACAGTTTCAATGAGCATGACTTTTTTAAAGGGGGCTAAAATGCAGAAAAGCAACTACTGTTTAAACTGTAATTTTTCTTTTTGTTCTAAACTCAGTTTTTTGCCTGTTTGCTTCTTCTACCCTCCTATATATTGTGTTAAAACATCTTTTGTGGTGCTGAAAACCCCAGTATAGTAGCTGTTCTATCCTTTATCTAAGAAAGTAAAAATGAACATTGCAATATGCTGAAGTATTTGAAAATAACTTGTTAGAAAACTTACTGTCACATTCTCTATTGAGTTGGGCATTTTGTCCTGTTGAACTGGCCATTTGCAGTAGCTTCATACAGACCCATCTGATGGAATGGGTTTAATCCACGAAAGCTCATGACCTAATTTGTTAGTCTGAGGTGCCAAAGGACTGCTCATTGTTTCATACAGACTATATAATAGAGCTTGAGAAGAATTATTCTCATTTTTCTGTACCCCAACCCTCTTACTCGCAATCTAACTTCTAACATTAAATGTAATCTACAAAGACATGGTGGTAAATTAAATGACCTTCAGTCTAGGAAAGCATGTTCATCCTTTCTTCTAATGTAAGTCCTTCAACAGAGTTTATTTTACAAGTGACAAGCCAAAGTATTAGTTTGGGGAATGCTTCTAGCAGGATTATTTTGAATTGGAAGGCCTAACTGTTGGGAAATGGAACAGTTATTACATTGATTTTAATAGCTGAGATTTAATCTATTTTGTTTCTCTAAATTCTTCAGAGAATTTTATGAGCAAGACTACCAAGAAAAGTTATAGTGCAGTCATTCTTAAATTCTTGTTAAGAGATTGAAAGGTTTTCCTTTGGTTTGCCTCTTATTTTGTTAAACCTCCTGATTTGCAAGAAGCTAATTCTTTATGAAGGGAATGGTTATTTGTCCCTGGAACTCTTGGTATATTAATGGGCAAATAGAGAAACTTTCCAAAAACACAAATAAGTCAAAGATGCTCTGTGAAACTTAAATGGTAAGCATCATTGAGGCATATATTTGCCAGAGTGTTGTAAGCAAGACACGAGAAGTAATTCTTCCACTCTACTCCATGCTGATTAGGCCTCAACTGCAGTATTGTGTTGAGTTTTGAGTACTATGTTTAATGAAAGATGTAGATAAGTCCAGAAGACAGCACAACAATTATAAAAGAACTAGAAAACATGACACACATGGGAAGATTGGAAAAATGGAGTGTGTCTGACTCTGGTGAAGAGAAGACTGAGAAGGGAACATCATAAAAGGTGGTTACAAGGAGAAGGGTGAAAAATTGTTGTCCTTAACCCCTGAGGCTATGATAAGAAACAGTGGGTTTCAATTTGCAGCAAGGGCATTTCAGGTTGGACATTAGGAAAATCTTTTTAACTATTAGGATTGTCAAGCATTGGAATAAATTGCCCGAGGAGATTGTAGAATCTCCATTATTGGAGATTTTTAACAGCAGATTAGACAAACATCTGTCAGGGATAGTCTAGAGAACTTAGTCCTGCCATATGTGCAGGAACCTGGAGTAGGTCACTTTTCAAGATCCCTTCCTGTCCTCCTATTCTATACCTTACGGTACAGTAGAACTCTATTTATCTCATGCTCCCATTATCTGGCTTGCCATATAAACTTAACAGTGCACACAGGCAATCTCTCCTGTTGGTACATTTCCTGTTCTCTGGATTATCTGAATCTTCAATTATCTGATCTGTGCCCAGTCCCAATTAGATCAGATAAATGGGATTCTGATTACATTATTTTAGAGACCAATAACTTGTCTGCTGAATATGTCTAGAAGAAGAGCAAAAGCTTTATTAAACCATGTGCTTAGCATTCCATTTCTGAGACTTGAATTTTTAGAATGGATTTGTTGCCCATTTAAGCAAACTGAATCCCTTTTATCTGATGCAATGATCTATTTGCTGCTTGTTAAAATTCTTCATAATGTTTGAGTAGGGTGGTTTTATTGATCTGTGTTCTGTCGTGAAATGTATACTCTTCATGGATGCTTCTCTATATAGGTACTGGCTATTCTTGTGAATATTTTTGGAGGCATCATGCGATGTGATGTTATTGCACAAGGTATCATTATGGCAGTGAAGGATTTGGATCTAAAAATACCTATTGTTGTTCGGTTACAAGGTGAGCACTCTTCAATACTATTCAAATTTAAATCTTTGGGTTTATGTATGTCAGTAGTACTTCTTGGTAGGGATGTTAAATTGCAGTTACTGAGTTAACAGTATAGTCGATAGGACTACTATGCAGAGCCACCTGCACTGTGGTTCTGCATTTTAAATGTAGTAAGAGCCGTTGGGCCCAACGGCTCTTACTACATTTAAAATGCAGAACCACAGTGCAGGTGGCTCTGCATAGTAGTCCTATCGACTATACTGTTAACTCAGTAACTGCAATTTAACATCCCTACCAAGAAGTACTACTGACATACATAAACCCAAAGATTTAAATTTGAATAGTATTGAAGAGTGTGGTCTGCTTTACAGCAGCCTCCCCTATCCCTCCTCTTCTGCCTTGGGTAGAGAACGGCCGGGGTGGGTGGCAGTCTGGAGCTGGGGTTGGAGGGAACCAGCTTTTAAGCCTGGCTCCCCCCAGCACTGGCTCGTGCCCAGCCCCCTTGCTGCTGAAGCAGCAAGGGGGTGCCGCAGGGAGCATGGGGCGAGCGGGGACTCAAGCAGTCCTGCTCTCCCTGTGTTCCCACTGCGGCACTTCAATCTTTGAGATGTAGCAAGACGTGGGGCTCTTACTATATTTCAAAGGGTGAAGTGCCACACTGGGAACCGGCATGAGTGGGGATCCACTTCAGTCCCTGCTGTGCCTCTACCTCCCCTACCCTCTGCGTAGATGGTGCTATCAGAGGCAGAAAGGGGGAGGGAAGTGACTAATCAAGTCACTACTCGACAATCTGAAAAGCTTACACTTATTGGATAGTTGACCAGTCGCTTACATCCCTTCTTCTAGATACTGGAGAAATACTTAATCACAGTGTTTAGCAGTTCAGTTAACGCATAGTCAAATTGCTTGTAAAAGAAGACTATTTTGTAAATAGAAATAATATGTATTAACTAAAATCCACTGTTTTTCTTATTGACGCTATTAAATATTACCCATTTACTAGGGATGCAAAAGGTTAACTGGTAACCTTCATCCTTAAAGGGTGAGACTTACCAGTGGCAGTTAACCCATAGCGGATGGAGCAGCTCCCCGCCCACTTTGGGCAGAGAGCCGCTCCAGCCCTGCAGGGCCCATTGCAGGCAGGGTTCCTTTCTGCGGGGAGGGAGAGTGGCCCTGGCCCCAGCCTAGCCCCAGGCGCCCCCCTGCCATAGGTTACACACTTTGGCTGCTGAGTCTGCATCAAAGCCTTCCCTTCGCCTCCCAGGGGGCTGGCAGCCCTTGCCAGCCCTCGCTCTCAGTAAGGAGGCTTTGCTATGGGCTCTGCAGTATAAAGCTAAGCTAAAGTGTTTTTTAAAGCAGTTACATGGTTATCTTTTTAAACAACTTCTTATATCCCCATTGTTTACCTTATTGGGTTTTTTATAAGTATTTAGTTGACATTTTAGAAAAACAAATCTAACTTGCTACTACTGAAAATGCCGCCTTATATATACTGAATTATCTCAATTTTGAGATCTTGGTAGATCGGTCCTGGAGAACTTGATCACCACCTGCACACATTATCTCTGGTTGAAATTGATAATCTGTACAGGTTGGACCTCGCTGTTCTGGCACTCTCGGGACATGACTAGTGCTGAATGAGGGGATTTGCTGGACCAGGGAAGGTCTCTCACCTCATGACCCATGCTGTCACCGGGCAAGGGCTCCAGCCTGTCCTCACTACTGCCTGAGGCCCCCCTGGGGCTCTCTAGATGCCAGAGCACCAGAGTCACAGCTGCGCCATCTGCACAGAGCTTTGCAGCCACTTGGCTCCGTGGCAGGGGCCAGAGCTCCCTGGCGGCTAGAGCCAGAAAGTGGCTGGAGCTCTGCTGTGGCCGGGGCCGAGGCGAGAGTTCCCTGGTTGCTGCTGGGGTCAGAGCTCCATGCATGCTGTTAAACTAGAGCTCCCTGGCTGCTGGGGCCAAAGAGGGCTGCTGGGGCCAAAACTCCCTGCCAGGCTTCTTGTCCTCCCCTCATCTCCACGGGGCTCCCAGCTGAGTTTCTGGTGCCCCCACAGTGCTCCTGCCCTGCCACCAGACCTCCCTGTTCCAGGGCTTTCTGATCCATGCAGGACCAGGGAATCCCAGTTAAGGGATGTACAACCTGTACTGAATTATGTTTAAAACTACTACTCTTTCTTCAGGTACGCGAGTTGATGATGCCAAAGCTTTAATAACAGCTAGTGGCCTCAAAATCCTTGCCTGTGATGACTTGGATGAAGCTGCTAAAATGGTGAGCAAGAAAGAGTTTTTTTGCATAACTCTTCTAAACAGATGCTATGGTTTAACATGAAGTCTTCATAAAGTTATCTTCCCCCAGTCACCTTCAAACAGTAGACCAGGGGTACATCTAGACTGCGGCGCTACTTTGGGATACTGAAAGTATCCTGAAATAGCAACGCCACATCTTTAAAAGTACCCGCTATTTCCTGAAATAGCAGGCATGCTATTCTGGCATCCCTCGTTCCATGAGGGCTAAGGGATTTGTTGGAATAGTGCTTTATTTTGAAATTTGGCACTGTGTACACAGTGCCAAATTTCAAAATAAGCTCTTTTCAATTTAGAAATTGCGTAGCTTATTCCGAGAGAGAGGGTGCTGTCTAGACCCACCTTAGGATAAAATATTTAAAGCCTTGAAGCTATCAGTGTATAATCTGAATCATTTCTAGAGTTAGCCTCTGCTGTTGAACTACTGAATGAGTCTAGTTCTGGAGAGAAGAAACTGGTTACCCACATCCATAAAACACTGAGTTTAAGGGCACAGTGGAAATGTTAAGATGGTCAAGTCCATGGTTTGTCACTAGAATACTTCTGCAGCAGGTAATTTGGGTTTTAGACCTGCATGGCATTTGTGTAAAACATCCACCATCCACAGCGATTGGTGCCATTTTATAAACAGAAATAGGTCTGTCAGTGGAATATTTACTTGTGTTAAAGCATCCAGTTGAATTGAGGCCTATTGTTCTGAGCCATTCACATGGATTAACAAAGGGCATTAATTTTCAAGTGCAATATGTGGTTTTTCTGTTGTTCTGCAATGGGAGTGGCTTTTTTTTCCTAATCCACTTTCAACATGGTTTAAACTAAACTGTTAACAGAGCACTTCTGTTCCAGAACAAGAGTTCCGAACATACTACTGTCAGGCACAACTCTTTGTAGACAAATCCCTAGCTCTCTGAAGAACTTTGTCTTGGGACATGCAGCAAGTAGGTGCAACAAACAAATGGAAGAGGGAAAATGAGGGTGATAGTAATAGGATCACATGATTGTACAGAGTTATAAAACTACAAATAAACAAGATGTATTAGTAATCCATGCTCGTCACCTGACATCTTAGCGAGAAACGTGGACTAAAAGTAAGTTGCATATTTTAACTAGGAAGCGATTAACAATTGGAACAATTTAGCAAAGACTATGTTGCATTCTCTGACAGGAAATTTCTTAAATCTGGAATCTTAAATATTTTTCCAAAAACATGCTTTAGTTCCACCAAAGGTATTGGACTTGAAACAGGAATTAAATTCAGAAAACTCCTGTGGTCTCTCACAAATACTATATAATTACAATGGTCTCATCTGGCCTTAAATCTGTTAATCTATTTTTTTCTTTATGGCAAGCTCTTTCTGACATTGCTTTCTAAAACAGACTGTCTAGTTGAACTCCTAAAATTTAGTAATGTCATTTGTTAAACTGTGTTAATATTTCTTTCTCTCTCTCTCTTTCTTCTCTCTGTGAAAATTTCAGAAATAGTGACCTTAGCAAAGCAAGCTCAGGTGGACGTTAAGTTTCAGTTGCCAATCTGATCTGAAGTGTCATGGAAGTGTCTAATGTGTTATATTCTCTGAAATACTGTGTTCTGTGGATTTTTTTCCTCTTTGTGTGTGTGTGTGTGTGTGTGTGGAGAATTTAATTGTTTGACAGGTGCACAAACTTTAAAGTACCTGGTCTTTCATGTTAATATTCAGAATGGTCAGAATTCATGTTAAAGTGTCTATTGCTGATATGTAATCTCTTAGTTGCACTCCCAGCCCTCCAGCTTCTGCTGCAGAATGTCACTTGAAATATACTCATTCATTATTGTCAAAAACAAAAGTTTTTTGTTGGAAAACCGTTTCTACTGAATAAAATATGAAGTTACTTTAGCTGTATATTCACATTGGCTTCTGTCAAGATAAACATGACTAGATTCCCTAGCATTCATAATGTGGAGGAATGTATTGAAATGGTGTTTTTATTGGAGACCTTTATACACTGAGACATAAAGAATGGATTTTAGCGTAATTCATAAATACATTTGAACAAACCCAGCAATATTCTAGAAGTACTTTCTGGATCTGACCAGTTAAATATTGGGACATTGGAACAATCACTACAAAATATACTGTAGCACTTAAATCTTCATGGTTTCTGGTGCTTCTTGAAAAGCATCATGCAGCTTTGTATATGGACAATAAAGTATTTTTCCGAAAGTGACATACAGAGAATTAGAATGTCAGTTGTAAGTTAATAAACTCTTCCAAGAGATCAGTATTACCTTTTTCCTTTGTCTATTTTGATTAATAAGTCACCAAAGTAAGTAAGCCCATGCAGGAATTAGTAGGATTTAAACTAATACTCAAAAGTTTTGCAAATCCATAAAATAGTGTGTCTGACTCCGTTCTGGTACTCCTTCATGTAATTGCTTTGCAGCATATAGGATTATGGGAACTTGGTGATGTTTTCATATCATCTTGTGTATGGTATTGTACTGAAAGTGAACATACAGCTCTTCCCAGTCTGGCTTTTCTTCTAAGGAAAGGCACTACGATAAGAAGGCACTAGAAAGCATTTGTTTTTAAGATAAATGGGACACAACTACCAATGGGATATCATGTTTTTTGCCAATTTGCTTACCTTGCAAAATGGCATTTTTCAGTTTTAAGTGACAAAGCTAACGGAACTTGGGCAAATAATTCCTTTGTCTCTGCTGCTAACACACATTGAATTGATATATTTAAAAATCTAATTTTCATCTTGTTTGTTTTAACTTGTTATCTGGAACAATGACAAGATAAGTTAGTATCTTGCTATCTTCATTTGATGGTTTAATATACAGTATTCAGTGAGGTTGGGTTTACTGTCTGGGGAAGCTTTTTTTATTACAGTAGAGTCCAGAAGCCCCTACTGAGATTGTGCTGTGCAGATTCACTTGTGCTACTGTTTGTTACATCATTACACTTTAAATATATTCCACTTTATGGTGCATAAAAATACTGAAAAAATATCCTTAAACTCAATTAAATGTGTGTTATGTGGGTTGGAAGTTATATCATTAACCTTGCTGTTGATACATGTGTATGCTTGACAGTGCTGGCAATGGATTTCACAAAGACGACTTTCATAACCAGCTTATGACTGGAAGATAGCTAATGTGATGCCAATTTTTAAAAAGGCTCCAGAGGTGACCCTGGCAAATACGTTAGCAAGTCTAACTTCAGTACCAAGCAAACTAGTTGAAACTATAGTAAAGAACAGAGTTGTCAAACACCTAGATGAACATAATTTATTGAAAGAGTCAATATCGTTTTTGTAAAGAGAAATCATGTCTGACCCATCTACTAGAATTCTTTGAGCAGGTCAATGGGAATGTAGATTGGGGGGGAAAGGGAGTGAATTAGTGGATATACTGTACTTAAATTTCCAGAAATCCTTTGACAAAGTTCCTTAACCAAAGGTTATTAAGCAAAAGTAATCTGTGATGGGGTAAGAGGGAATCATTAAGAAAGGAATAGTTCATAAACACTAACTTATTGCTTCAATATAAATACATGGTATGTTCATATTTTGAATACTGCATGCAGATTGTGACCGTGTGCAGTCACAGATCCTTGGGACTATTCCTAGGTGTGCTGATTATGCTACCAACACTCACTGCCTTTCTTTCGGGCTCCTCACCACCCTGTCCCGCTGTCAGATTCTGTGGGGTTCCCCAGGCAAGGCGCAAAGTTGGGGTACTCCTCCCTCCAGAGCAATGCAGACACTGGACCACTTCAGCTCTGGGAGAATGCAGTTCTAAGGCACAGTACCCAGGAAGCCAACCCCCAAAAAGGATCAACACCCCCAAATAATTGGTCTTCATGTATGAGTTTTACAGTATGAAAACTCATTTGAGCAAGCCCCCATTGTCAATGAAAGAGGGATGTGCATGCTGATTGTCCTCTTCTCCCTCTCTTCCCCCCCACCCCCTGCAACAATTATTTATACTGGTTTGAGTTTTTATTAGGTGCAACCACTTAAATCCTGTTTGTATGTGAAAACAGACAGATCAAAGTAAGTTACAAAATTAACATGAAAAAATGTGTAGCTAGTTCTAATATACTAAAACTTGTAAATAGTTCCTTACCCTAAAATCTGTTAATATTTCAGGCAAGCCTTCAAGTCAAAGATCTTTTACTCTGACTTGGGTCTTCAGTTATACTTGTCCCCCAGTCAGCTGAAGACAAAGGCACTGATAGCTTTTCATTGCTTAAATAGGCTTTTCTTGGGTGGGAATCTTTTCTTCTACATCCCTCCTCTCCTGGGAAATGACCTAGTTAAACTGGTATCCCAGTACAAGACAGTATGATCAATGTCTTCCTAAGACCAACCATTGCTTAGACTTAACTTGAGAACAGCCTTGTTTGTCCTTTAAGTTGATCACCCAGTCATTGAGACTTCCAGAGCACCATTGATGGCTCTCCTAAGCATATTTAAAACCATGAACAATCTCATAAATCCTATTTCTAAATTTACATACCAGAATGATGCATGCACCAAAATAAGATATATAGATCCAGCAGATTAGAACATTAAAATAGATTACTTGAGGTATTTTATCCATCTTTGAGTTATGCATATTAATGTTCATATACCAATTTCATAAAGTATGGGGGGGGGAGGGGAATAGGGGGGACTGTCACAGATATGGTCACCTCATCTCAAAAAAGAAATACAGGTTGAACCTTCCTAGACTGACACCCTCCCAACCTGACTGATCCTAGATGGAGCAATTTGCTGGACTGGAGAGGGGTTCTCCTTTTCCTTGGCCACCCCAGGCTCTGCTCTTCCCACAGGGGTAAGGAGGAGCATTCTGTTCTCCCCCCGCCCCTCCGGCCACTCACCTGCTGACATGCAGGGGTCTGCTTTTTCCCTGTGGCTTTGCTAACATGGGCAGTGGGGGCTTTGCACTCCCCCGGAAGCTCCCACTGCCACCTGGTACTCCATGCTCTGCCTGGCAGTTCCACTGCCACCAGTGGCCCTGCTGCCACACAGGGCTCTGCGTTATTGACTCCTTAGTCTGGCAACGCTCCTGGCCCCACAGGGTCACCCTGATGATGCCAGGCCAGTAGCGGTGCCTTACTAAAGTCTGGATTACAGCGTTTCAACTTGTATTGTAATTGGAAAAGATTCAGAAAAGGGCAACAAATATGATTTGGGGTACGGAATGGCTGCTACATGAGGAGAAATTAATAAGACTGGGACTTTTCAGCTTGGAAAAGAGATGACTTAAGAAGGGATGGGATATAGAGAGAGATACAATTGTGACTGGTATGGAGAAAGTGAATATGGAAGAATTATTTACTCCTTCCTGTAACACAAGAACTAGGGGTCACCAAATGATATTAATATGTAGCAGGTTTAAAACAAACAAAAGGAAGTACTACTTTACACAATGCACAGTCATCCTGTGGAACTCCTTGCCAGAGGAGGTTGTGAAGACCAGGACTTTAATTGGGTTCAAAAAAGAACTTGATAAATTCATGGAGGATAGGTCCATCAATGGCTTTTAGCCAGGATGGGCAGAAATGGTGTCCCTAGCTTCTGTTTTTCAGAAGCTGGGACTGGATGACAGGAATGGATCACCTGTTCTCTTCATTCCCTCTGGGGCACCTGGCATGGGGCACTGTCAGAAAATAGAATAAAGGGCTAGATGGACCATTGGTCTAGCATGGCTGTTCTTATGTTAATCTCGTAGTCGAGAAATTAGTGTGACAAACAGGGCTGACCCAAGCCATCTTGGTGCCCTGGGCCCCAGGCGCACGGTGCCCAGGGCACATGCGTGGGCCCGCCCCCAGGACACGTGGCCCCACCTCTGGACGCACGGCGCATGCGCTACCCAGTTGGCCTGGCCACTGCGAATGGCGTGCAGACCGGGGCTGCCCGGGGTGGGCTGCGCCTGGCCGTGCAGGGCCCTGCGGCTGCAGGGGGAAGGGTGCTGCTGGCTGGTGCTGCAGGGGTTAACACGGCCCCCGCCCCAGGCGGCTGCTGCGGTCCCCATAGGTTGGCGCCTTGGGCAGCTTCCTGGCTAGCCCACCCCTTAGTCCAGCTCTGGTGGCCAAAAGAAGAGAGGAGTAAATAGAGTGTAGAAAAATTTACAGTATGTTTGGGGGCAGGTCTGGGATTTGATATGTCAAATTAATAGCTGAGATTTAAAAATTTTGCGGTGAAATCAGTGGAAAAAAGTGCCTCAAATAGATTTTTTTTTTAAAATGGGTTTGTGAGTTGAAATGAGTGAAAAATTTTTAAACTTGTGATTATAACTTGAAAAGCAATTACAAATGCATTGGAGAGGTATGTAATCGTCTCAATAGAATAGATTTCCGTGTCAAATGTCTTCAATTTATGAGTGTTTCCTGTCAATTTTGCATACTGAGGTGTTATTTGAGTGCTTTCTCTCTCAGTTGCAATAAGGAAGGTTCTTCAGGGGAAATAGGACTATTGATTGCACTTGTACATCCCCATAGCCTTCAAAGGATTTACACAGGTAACCTGGTTTGACTTGATTATATTTTTGTTGCTGCACAAGAAGGGATAGATTCCAGATTACTATTAGTTTGTAAGTTAACAGAACTAAAAAGCCATAGAAATGTCTGCCACTAAAATCAGATACAACTAAATACCTGATGCATCTGTTCCATGTGTTAAAGGTGTCATTTTATAATACATTTTTTAAGAGTAAAACTACACTTTAAAATGAAGAGGTGAAAGTGAAGGTGCAGAAATACTTTGATATGGTCAAAAGTGATACACTTTAAATTTGAGAAACAATGCAGATGCTTTGGAATACAACTGTCACAGATCTCATTAGCATCAAGGTGAGTTAGGTAATATTTCTATTCTACCAACTTCTGTTGGTGAAAGAAACTTTTGAGCTCACACAAAGCTCTTCATCTTGCAAGCTTCTCTCTTTAACGGAAATTGGTCCGGTAAAAGATATTACCTCATCCATCTTGTCTCTTTGATATCCTGGGACCAAGTTGGCTATAACACTACATGAATCTGGTTGTCTGATAGCCAGAACTTAATCTCAGTTATTCATGGAAATCATAAATATTTAAACATAGTCAAAATCTGAGGGGAATAATATAAGTCGTCATTTTGTCAAAGGATAGGAATGTAATCCATTAAAATATTAGCAACTCCAGGTGACTTATTACAAGTTTTTAGTTAGCAATCTTGATTTAATAAGTAGATTACAGTTTAACTGGAGTATAAAGGTCCTTTGCCATTAA